GACGCAGGTGACACAAGCGATCATCCGCAATTAAGACGATGATTGGTGTGAAGTGGACCTTTGATAAGCACCAGGCGGTCTTATCTAACCAACATTACAGGAGGTCCAAGGGCGCTGGTAATGTATATGTATGGGTAAGTTAATTCTTGGTAAGACCCCTTCCCGGAGGAGCAGGAGTCAGCCGAGCACTTCCAAGGACTGGGTTCTCCGAGCACGCGACTCCGGGTTGCCTGGGTGCCGAAACGCGCGCTGCCTACCTTGTTGAGGGTGGCGGGTAGTAGTTCAGGTTGGTTACATACCAGTCAGGTCAGGGCCAGGTACGTACCTGCAGTCCAGGGTCGGTCGCTCTAATTCCGCAACAAGGAGAGCTGATTGAACTGATTGAGCTGGCTGAGGCGGGTAAGCTTGAGGAGCTTGTATGCAGGGTCATTTGATCACACAACCGATAGCACAAGAGCTTTAGATTAACAATGATTGTGAAGACCGTCATTCAGAGAATCAAATTATGTCATTAACAATGTCAGTGTAGCACCTAACCTAGTAGTTACTCGCACAAGTTGGTTAATTGATTGGGGGGTGGCTGACCTATTCTTGAGTCACCCACCGCCCCCTCTCCCCTCGAGCTCAAAGGGCAGGCTGCCGGCAACAGGCTGGCTCCAAGGGTACCTCCTCGTCACCCACCCGCCAGCGGGAAGCGCATGTATCTTCCCTCTAGTAGGTTAACTATTACTTAAGTAGGTAACGAGGGATGCAAGCTGCGCCCCAGTTCGCCTCATTATACGGAATAGTTATTCTTGATATCTCAGATATTCCGAATAACTAGCAGAATGGAGTTTCCGTAATCATGAACAGGTATGAACAGGCAGACAAGTAGAACCTATCAGTCTCTCTTACGTATACCCTCGGGATATTTTAACGTTCCCCGGCCACGATAGGCTGGGGGATATTCCGTTTACCGCTGTACTGTACCTCCCATACGCCAGTGTAGAGTAAGTGTGAGAGACTGTGAGTAGGTGGTAGTACGGAGTAAGGTAAACTGTAAACTGCAAACTGCAAACTGTAAACTCGAGGTAAAGGCAAACTTACCTTTTTTGGTTTCCTTCCAGTTTACCCCAGAATCCGTTCCCAACCTTGGAGCCCGCGCTAATCACCGGGGCCCGATCGACACTAAAAACCGAGAGAACCAACTGAATCTGCTGTGTCATCCGGTCATTCATTGTAAACATCGGAAACATCGTAATCATTGTAATCATTGTAAATTACCGTATGCCGGTTGCATCATCACCTGCTGCCCTTGCCTCTTGTTAGGATAAGCAGTCCCCAATCTCCACCTCCATCCGCCCTTCTCCTCATCTCCTCGCTCTCCGTCCTCTTCTTAATCAACCTCCATCCTCCGCCCTCCCTTCCATTCCTCCCTCATCTTTATCTTTGTCAACCTTCCACCTATCTTCCTTTTCCCTTTGCCCTTTTCCATCTCTCATTCCTTCCGTCTTTCCTCCCCCCCACCCCTACCATCATCACTTCCCTCCTTTACACTGCCCTGAGCTTCCATCTTTCCCCATACACTCATCATGAAAGGCATCCTCGGCCTTTCCGTGCTCCCGCTGCTGGCGGCTGCATCGCCTGTCTTTGTTGATTCCATCCACAATGGAGCTGCTCCCATTCTCTCTGCATCCAACGCAAAGGAGGTTCCCGATTCATACATCGTTGTTTTCAAGAAGCACGTCACTTCGGCTTCAGCCGCCGCTCACCACAGCTGGGTGCAGGACATCCACTCCTCTCAAAGCCAAAGCCAGCGGACTGAACTGAAGAAGCGGTCGCTCTTTGACTTTGGTGAAGAAGTCTATCTTGGTCTGAAGAACACATTTGACATCGGTGGCTCTGTGGTTGGTTACAGTGGCCACTTCCACGAGGATGTTATTGAGCAGGTCCGCATGCATCCTGATGTAAGTTCTTTGCCACCTATGGCGTTTCTACCATCCCTATGTCAATCCTTACTCATTGACCATATGTAAACAGGTCGCGTACATCGAGAGAGACTCCGAGGTTCACACCATGGAGGTGAACACTGAGAAGAACGCACCCTGGGGATTGGCACGTATCTCCCACCGAGATAGCCTCACCTTTGGCACGTTCAACAAGTACTTGTACGACTCCGAGGGCGGCGAGGGCGTTGATGCCTACACCATTGATACCGGTATCAACGTTGACCATGAGGACTTCGGGGGGCGTGCCACTTGGGGCGCGACAATTCCTGACAACGACGAGGACCTAGACGGCAATGGTCACGGAACTCACTGCTCTGGTACTATCGCCGGTAGTAAGTACGGTGTGGCCAAGAAGGCCAACCTCTATGCTGTCAAGGTCCTGAGATCTAGCGGCTCTGGTACGATGTCCGATGTCGTTCGGGGTGTCGAGTGGGCTGTTGAGTCCCACCTGAAGAAGGCCAAGGATGCTAAGGCCGGTAAGGTCAAGGGCTTCAAGGGTAGTGTTGCCAATATGAGTCTGGGTGGTGGCAAGTCCAAGACCCTCGAGGATGCTGTCAACGCTGGTGTTGAGGCCGGCCTTCACTTTGCTGTTGCCGCCGGCAATGACAACGCTGACGCTTGCAACTACTCTCCCGCTGCTGCTGAGAATGCCATCACTGTCGGTGCTTCGACCCTCGGCGATGAGCGTGCTTACTTCTCCAACTATGGCAAGTGTACCGACATCTTCGCTCCTGGTCTTAACATTCTGTCCACCTGGATTGGCAGCAAGCACGCCACCAACACCATCTCTGGTACCTCCATGGCCTCTCCTCACATCTGCGGTCTCTTGGCCTACTTCGTCTCCCTTCAGCCTGATGCCGACTCTGCTTTCGCTGCTGGCGAGCTCACTCCTGCCAAGCTCAAGAAGGATTTGATCTCCATTGCTACTGAGGGTGCCCTTACTGACATTCCCTCGGATACCCCTAACGTAAGTTGACCGTGTTCCCCATACTCTGGAAGTAATTGTGACTGATGATTCTTTAGCTCCTCGCCTGGAACGGCGGTGGCTCCAGCAACTACACCGACATTGTTGCCAACGGTGGCTACAAGGTCTCCACCATCAAGGACCGCTTCGAGAACCTGGTTGACAAGGCTGAGAAGATGCTCTCTGAGGAGCTTGGCGCTATCTACAGCGAGATCCAGGATGCTGTCATTGCATAGATTTGAGATGTTTTGTTTTACAGACCTAGTTTGAGTTTTCGACGTCAAGACAAGACAGCTTGAGATCAAGACAAGAGCAGGTCGGACATTGGCGCTGGCTTTTTCTATCCTATTGTTTTGGAGTTGATGCATTGAGTGCGTCAATTGTACCATCCTGATGTTATTCGCCCGTCTGACCTATCCTTATGGTAGTATACATGTCGCAAAGAACCTATGACGCTTTGATTTAGAATTTTTGGGTGCTTTTACCAGATTGTCAATTTGTTACGATTATTAGAGGAATGGTATCCTGCTGATGAAGATCAGTCAATGTAGTTTGGTATGAGTATAACAAATAGTCTATTTCTTCCACAGTATCGTACGCATCTCGTGTAGGGACAACTTGACAAGAGTGGAGCTTATCACATGTTGCGTAGGTTCCTCATCTACGATAAGTCGATAAGCAATTGAGTTTTGTACTGTACTGTGCATACATACCTTATGAAACTACGTGAGTGAGCAAGTGATTTCGACCTTGCTCGTGCGCTTTGATTGACATTTCCGCCTGCATTGATATACGTGCTTCCCGGTAGCTCAACGCCCGTCTACGACTCCTGGTTTGTGTTGGTTGCCTGTACTATACAATACGGTGCAAAGCACCTAAGGTCAGGTCCTACTCACTGTACGTAAGGTACGTATCCTCCTGATAAGCCCCGAACTCCACCTTTCCATCCAGATTCATCCACCTGACCCCCCCTGGTTCCCTCCTCAAATTTGTTCTATAAACAAGTCAATGCCACCCGCACCTCCATCCAAACCAACGAATAACCTCGAGGTCGCATCTTCGCGCCCGACAACTATAGATTCTCGGCCCAGATGCTAGTCCCATGTCTTCGTTCATGATAGTGGCCATGCCCCCTATACCGCCCGAGCATAGAATCCATCCAGTCTATAGTTATACAGTGCAGTGCACAGCAAGCAGCCACCACCTTGGTTGGCCCTGACTACGTATACAGATCGCCTGAGGGTGTACTGGAGTACCAGGTCGCCACGAACCTGTGCCCAGGAACGTTATGATTATGCTTGACTTTCCGCACCGTGATAGCTACTAAGCTTAGCTCTGGTTAAATTATGCATGTCATGATGAGGGGTTAAGGGGGGGAAGCGTGATGAGGAAGATCGACGGGCCTCGGACATTCCCCCTCTCCCCTCTCGCTTCCCCTCCCGCTTCCCCTCCCGCGTGATGGTATCATCAGGATGGACCGGTCAGGCACCGAGAGAAATACAGTAAGCAGGCTACATGCTGGTGTACTCGTATGTAAGTCGGAGGCATTCGGACTATCCCCCGCCCCGCTGGGATGTCGCTGGGAGGAGATAGGATCGGCTGGAAGATTACCCATTACTCGCGCTGGTGGTGGACGACATTCCTGTCCCGTGGAGGGGTGACATCATCTTCTGCGTTAGCTGTAGCATCCTCTTCTTCGGGGGTGTTTTCGCGTGCGGGTGAGGGGTGTGTTCTTGCTTAAGGTAGTTTGCTTAGGGTTTCCACTATGGTACTGTGTTACGGGGGAGTTTGAGCCTTTGAACATTTGAAATCCGATGATGATAGAAGAGTAAATGATGGCTGTTATATCTATGCATGCATGCATGAAAAGAGAACACACCCCGTCCATGCTCTGCAGATGAAGTGGATGTAAATCACAGATAGAAATATGCTGCTCCATGCCTATATCGTCCGTCCAATGCGCCTCGCTATGCCGGTTGTAAGAAAGAAAAAAAAATGAACAGAGAAAATAAGGCAGAAAGAACCCAAATGTTCCAAGCGCCGGATCCAGGAGGCGAGAGTACAATGTCAGTAGTAGAGAGACCGTGAGAAAAGGTCTGGCAGATTTGCCCGTCGCAGACCCGCAATGCGCAAGGGGGGCTCCGGTTAGGAGGTCCTCCTAATACTTGCTTGCTTCATCATCATCCTCCTCCTCACTGCCTGTCTCCTGGTCCTCGTCATCCACATCCAGATCTTCGTCGGAGTCGCTGCCTCCGAACACGTCATCGTCGACATCGCTCTCCGCCCAGAAGTCGGAGTCGTCCTTCTCGATGGCTCTAGCCGTCGAGGTTGTGTGGTGGGTGGGCATGACAAACCCCTCGGGGATGTCCTTCTTCGAATCTTCCACGTGCTGACGGACGATCGATTTGTAGTGCTCGGGGTTCTTGCGGAGCATCACGGAGGCGTCCACGTTGGCGGGCGAGGAGATCTCTGCGTCGTCGAGCAGCGAGAGGATGGATATGAGGACGGATTCGACTCGCTGAGCCGGCGACCACCGCTCCGAGGCTAGTTCGCCCGACATCTCATCCTCCCCGGGCGCGTGAAGGATGGAGATGCACAGTTTGCCGTCTTTGTAGATGTTCGGATGATAGAGGGGACGGAGGAATCGGAATTCTGTGCGGTGGTAATGGCATCAGGTTAGTCGATTTGCGCATTTCCAGTGTAAGAAAGGGAGGGAGGGGCAAGGCGCTTATGGCCCAGGCGTAACGAACACGGGCGCACCAACCTGGAGGAGAATAAGGGTAGTTGCTCGGGAACTTCATCGAGGCCTTGAAGTATCCGCCATAATAGAGCGAGTCTGGGTTGAGGACGATCAGGCCCACGTTCCAGTTGAGAATGTTCTGTTCATCGATCTGGAAGCGGAAGTCGGTCAGTATCTTTTCACGATAAGGGGCCGGTGGTCCGTATTTAGGCGGATAATCCGCGACGTGTCGACCTAGACAAGGGATGCAAGGAAGCGTACTTCGATATTAACCCATGGCTCCTGCGACAACGACTTGTACTCGTTCATCAAGATGCGTTCCACCATGGTGAGCGACGGAAAGGGAGAGGTGGCGGGCGAGGAGGAGCCACAAATTCAAGGGGTACAAAATGAAGATACAGATCTTAAGAAGCGAAATAGAGTAATGGAGAATATAGAGCAGACCGCTTGCTCCAAATTCTGAAGATCAGATAGATAGGCGGTGATGGTGGTAGGGATTCGATCTGGTGAGGGGAGACAAGTTGGAGTGAGGGTCATTGTCCGGCAAGAGACGCCGCTCGATGAAAGAGGCCGCTAGTCCCGCTGTGGCAATCCATGCTATCCCACGCGCAACGGAAGGTCCCGGGGAGGTGGCGTGCCCGATTCCCTCATCACTTCTTAGAAATCGGATGAAATCTCTCCGCAGAGTTTTTGCTGCCATGAGCCACCTCGATCTAGCGACACCTACCTTCTACCTACTTGAAGTGATACCTGAACAAGTAGGCGGGTTCATCGCACCCGATCCCCAAGGCAATCCGGCTGTTCTCAAGCGCTGATAAGATTACAAGTCGGAAGGGTCTTCAAGTCGGCTTAGTCAGGTACCAAAGGTGCCAGGTGGGAAAGACACCCCAGGGCGGCCACTCACAGTGTAGGAACGGATGAGCAATCACTGACGTTCATTGGTTTGCATAGCTCAAGAGAACAAACAGTGGGGGCTCGAGAGGGGGAAAAGCAGTCCTTCGAGTGGGGAAAAGTCGCTGTAGTCTTATTTAGGACTACTTTGGACCAGCAGGTTCAGTTATCGTCGTGCTCGTGATAGCATTACGGCATCGACCTCAGCAATGCCGGTGAAGTCTTCTTACGCAGGCGGAAATCTGGAGTTTGACCGACGGACTTCCTAAGGAGTAACCGGAAGGGCTCCTGGAGGGACAAGACATGCCACTGAGTCAAAAAGGCACAAATCCTCTTCCGGCCGCCTTGCTGCTGCTGCTGCTGCTGCTTATCTCTCGGATGATAAAGAAGGGCGCCCCATCAGACTCAGATTACGAAATCAGCTAACTATCCCATTTTCAGACGCCGACGCCTGTCAAGTGATGACCTTCCCAGAGCTTGACTCACAGCTCCAAGCGAAATTTGATAACAGCCAAGCGCGCATGACGAATCAACCGCGTCAATTGCAACAAAAAGGTCAAAGGGTCGAGTTTGTCAGTCGAGTCGGTGTGACCGGCAAGGGGTATGCAGGATGCACGGACAGCCCGACAGTCCTCGCATTTCCCTATCTTCAAGCCCCTCCCATTCCTCCATTCTCTATGAGAACTTAATTTCGATGAAAAGTCAAGAAGAGGTCTGTGGGTTAGAAATGTGAGACCATGTTCTTCGTAGCTTTTCTCGACAACAGGAAAATTCTAGAGCCTGTCGACTGGGGAACAAACCCTAGAGTTCTCACAAATCTGGGGACGTCTGCCCTAAGACTCCAAGAGAAAGCGAAGATGAAATCCTTTAAGATCACATCTGGCGGAGTGGATCCGCCAGCTAGAAAGAGGTGGTTAAAATAAAGTGATTTGATTTGATCTGTGATACATCAATTCCACTGGACGCATCGGGACTGCAAGCATCTGATAATGACTGACAAGAAAAACATGACAAAAAAAAAAAAAAAAAAAAAAAAAAAAAAAAAAGAAGCGATCCCGTGGCAAGTCTGCATACTTTTGCTCATGTCTTCTTGCGTGCAATGTCAGCATTGCGTGAAGGGCGGATGGAGGGTTGACCATGGATCCAGAAGAGCCATAAAAGTCTCAGGAATATAGTATCTATTCTGGCGAATACCGAGCCATCGTTGGTGAAACACCACTAGTAGAATTGGGTGTAACGGCAGTGATATTAAATCACTTTTGTCGCAACGTGGGAAGCCTGGAAGGCAATCGGATTAGCTGACTGGAGGTCTGGAATATTCGTTGCGGGCGGAGGAAAAAAGCCTCCACTGCTATTATTCTATTTTTTCCAGGGCAAGTTAGAGGCTGACTAGGGGGGGAGCAGACTAACGAGTCTTAACGAACTAGTCGTCGAGTAAGCTAAGTAGCTGGTGGACTGCTGTGTAGCCTGCCGGGCTGTTCTCCACGGGCTGTCCCACTCGCTCGGCGTCCGCCTGCTGCTCGTCATCGCCGCATTTCTGTCTTCCTGGTCTTCCACCCTTCCTCTCTTCCCCCCTCCCAGTTTCTCTCTCTCTCTTTCTCCCTCCACCTTCACTCCCTACCCTCGTCTCCTCTCACCTGCAACAACCTATATTATCGCCGAGGTCGTGCTATGTTGCCAACCTCCTCGCGATCATCGCCGCTGTATAATTCCGCCCGTGCCTAACCGTTGCTCTGGTGGAAAAGTCGACTACATCGCTTTTCTCCGCCTTCCCGTTCGGCGATGCTAGGCTTGTCCTGCATCTATATGCCGTGACGTTGTCTCTCTAGCCACTATACTGGACGCCTTCTTGTCTAACAATTGCTGGCTAGGCTATTTCAGTCTATATTTCAAAATCAGCACATAAGCGCATGATCTCTGCAGCTCCTCTGCCTCGATTGTTCTTCGTCTACCAATAATGGGGGTGGAATGCCATGGCCCTATCTGGGCCGGTGATGACCTCTCTCGTTGCTTCCAACGCAAGTACGTAGAATTTATCCAGCCTGTGTGAGGCGCTGCGCCAGGAAATAGACTAACGAACCACAATCCTAGCTACCTACAAGTTATTTTACCGCTCATGGCCTGCGGGCTCTCTCTGATTCTCATCGTGCTCCGCGTTGCATACGGCTATCTATTTTCTCGGAGAGGGGTTTCTTACAAGATCTTGGTTAACAACGAAGAAGATGAGGATACGACAAACACGGCTATTGGGGACGATGAGGAAGGGGAAACAGATCCAATGCTGAGTAAAGCGACGCAGAGCGAGGTGCCTCACTTCGAAGTGGACCGCCCACGGGGCGAGATTGCCGTTATATCTCTGGAAATACTCGCGCTTGCCGGAGAAGTGGCCGTCTTTGTTGCCGTTCTATCTACGGATGCTTGGGGTCGTCAGGGCTCTCTCCCAGCCATTGCGAAGCTAGTCTCATGGTCCTATATATTATTCCTGGCATTGGTCCGGCTGCTCCTCTCGACGCTGGACCTCCACTCTTCTCCTCGGCTCTGGAACCATACTGCGGCTTTGTATGGGCTGCAATGGCTGTTCACCGTCTTCATTTTCCGATCTGCCGTCATCCATCCGCTTTCCAAGCGCGCCTTGACCTTCAGCTCGATTGAATTCGTCTTATCAACTCTCCTTTTGCTCGTTGCAGTGACCACCCGCAGAGGGAACAAGTCTGTGCTCGTTTCGCACGAAGATGGCCTGGAGCCCGCAAGACATCCCACGGCCAGCTTGCTTTCGCTTGCCACCTTCGGTTGGCTGGACCCCTTGATCCTCAAAGGTTACAGGCAGCCCCTGGAACTTGACGATGTCTGGGACCTGACTGCGTCTCAAAAGGCCGCGACTGTGCTGGAGGACTTCCGACGCAGGCATTATCAAGGTGCTCTCTGGTGGAAGTTGGCCCGCCACTTCTACGGGACGCTTCTTTACCAGGGTGCCTGGACGATCTTCTCAAACTGCTTCACGTATTTGCCCACCATCTTGCTTAGAGCGATCCTTCAATATGTCGAGGATCCACGATCGACCACAGCAAATGCAGCCTGGCTATACGCCATCCTGCTGTTCTGCTCTGGAGCCATTCAAGGTATTGCTGACGGACAAGCCCTCTGGATCGGACGTAAACTCGGCGTCAAAGTCCGTGCCATCATCATTGGCGAGATCTACGCCAAGGCTCTGCGGAGAAAGGCTGGATCGACTGTCGAGACCGCCCCTAAGAAGGCTTCTGAGACGGATGACGACAAGAAAAAGAAGGGCGGCCTGTTCTCCTTTGGTCGCAAGAACAAGAAGAAGGCGGCTACCGACCCTGAAATGAACGGCACCCCAGCGAAGGATTCCAAGGAAGGTGACGAAAAGCAATTGGCCAACGTTGGTACTATCATCAATCTGATGGCCATCGACTCTTTCAAGGTTAGCGAGGTTGGCGCCTACCTGCACTTCCTCTGGGCCAGTGTGCCTACTCAGATTATCATCGCTGTCACCCTTCTCTATCGTTTACTGGGCTTGAGTTCGTTTGCTGGAATCGTGATCATGGTGCTCATGCTACCTGTGAACCTCATCATTGCGAAGCAGTTCTCCAAGGTTCAGAAACAAATTCTGAAAGGAACCGATGCTCGCATCCATAGCACAAATGAGATTCTGCAGAACATTCGAATCATCAAATATTTTGCCTGGGAGCAGCGTTTTCAGGATATCGTTAACGAAAAGCGCAAGACCGAATTGAAGGCTCTTCGATTCCGATACATTATCTGGTCTTCAGCAGCTACCGTTTGGTACGGCACGCCAATTCTGATCACATTTGCTTCTTTCTTCCTGTATACGGTGGTGGAAAAGAAACAGTTGACACCCTCAATCGCGTTCCCCGCATTGTCGATGTTCTCTCTGCTCCGTGTGCCTTTGGATCAGCTAGCAGATATGGTGGCACACGTGCAGGAATCCAAAGTCTCGCTCGATCGTGTGGATGAATATCTCAATGAGGACGAGACTGAGAAGTATCGTCTGCTTGATCACGAGGAATCACCTGAACAGCCGTCCAAGATCGCACTTGAGAAGGCCACTCTTAGTTGGGGTGCCTCAAAGACTGGATATTCCGATGACCCATCTGATGACGCCAAGGACAACTTCCGCCTGATCGATATGGATGTGTCGTTCAAGATCGGCAAGTTGAACGTCATCACCGGCGCTACTGGGTCTGGAAAGACTTCTTTGCTTATGGCTCTGTTGGGTGAGATGAAACTTCTGGAAGGAAGGGTATATCTCCCTGGCGGCACAGCGAATCGCGCGGAACTTCCCGTGGATTCGCAGACGGGTCTCATCGAGAGTGTTGCGTACTGCGCACAGGAAGCCTGGCTTGTGAACGCTACCGTAAAGGATAACATTGTGTTTGCATCTCCGTTCGACCAACGCCGGTACAATGCTGTGATCAAGGCATGTGCTTTGGAGAGAGATCTCCAGATTCTCGATGCCGGTGATCAGACTCTCGTGGGCGAAAAGGGCATCAGCTTGTCAGGCGGTCAAAAGCAGCGTATCTCCCTCGCCCGTGCTGTCTACAGCAGAGCTCGTCATTTGCTCTTGGATGATTGTTTGAGTGCCGTGGACTCGCACACCGCCAAGCATATCTTCCGTCAGGCCTTGACTGGCCCTCTCATGATGAACCGATCCTGCATTCTTGTGACGCACAACGTCGCTCTCACGGTCCCTCAAGCCGATTATGTGCTTGTCCTCAACAACGGTAAAATCGCGGCACAGGGTCCTCCGGATGAGGTGGCTGCCTCGGGTGCCTTGGGTGATGAGCTCCTTAAGTCTCGGCCGACATCCAGGTCTAGCACTCCGCGTCTTTCTCGTAGACCCTCGGATGCTGAGGAACAACAAGACGAGAACCACGCGAATGGCTCGGCAGTCAATGGCACCACCGCGAAGATTTCAGACGGGAAAGATGACCCGTCCAAACTTAGTGAGTCCAAAACGACGGGCAGCATCAAATTGTCGACGATCAAAATGTATCTGCTTTCAATGGGCTCTTGGTCCTACTGGCTTGTTGCTGTTCTAGTTTTCTGTCTGCAACAGTTAGGATCGGTGTCTACCAACATCTGGATCAGACAATGGGCGAACTCGTATCAGACCCAGGGCGCTGGACAGGAGGATGCTGGCGATTATGCGGCAGTGGCCAATTTCAAAATGCCCTCGTTCAATGCTGGCGGTGTCCCCCGTACCTCGGTCTTCAGCGCACCCCAATTCAGCACGCGCAAGAATGACGGGGCTGACAACGATGTGAACATCACGTACTACCTTGGGGTTTACGCGCTGTTGGGTCTTTCTTTTGTCCTGATCTCCCTGCTCAGAGAAGCCGTTCTTTTCTGGGGCTCTCTGCATGCTTCGTTCACCATCCATCAACGTCTCCTGAGATCAGTGATTCATGCTAAGTTCAAGTTTTTTGACTCGACCCCTCTCGGCCAATTGATGAACCGCTTCTCCAAGGATGTCGAGGCTGTTGACCAGGAAGTTGCTCCTGTCGCAATTGGCATGCTTCACAGTCTCGCATCTGTCATCATGATTGTGATCCTGATCTCAGTCATCACCCCCGGCTTCTTGATCGCTGGCATCTTCATCACGCTGATCTATGTCGCTCTTGGTGCTGTCTACGTGAACTCTTCTCGGGATCTGAAAAGACTGGAATCTGTACAGAGAAGCCCGCTGTATCAGCAGTTTGGCGAGACCTTGAATGGAATTGTGACCATCCGTGCCTATGGTGACGGACCGCGGTTCATTGTTGATAACCATCGTCGGATCAATGCCTACAACCGACCCCATATCTATCTCTGGGCTAGTAACCGCTGGCTTGCCCTGCGCGTTGACGTCACTGGAGCCCTGGTCTCTTTCTTTACGGCTATCTTCGTCCTCGCGAATGTTGGAAAGGTCGATGCCGGTGCTGCTGGACTTTCTCTGACATATGCGGTGACGTTCACCGACAATGTCCTCTGGCTCGTCCGGCTGTATTCTGAGGTCCAACAGAATATGAACTCGGTGGAGCGAGTCAAGGAGTATCTTGATGTGGAACAAGAGGCTGATGCTGTCATTGCCGACTCCAGACCACCGGCTCAGTGGCCCAGTGGCGGCTCGGTTGAATTTGCCAACTATACCACGCGGTACCGGTCGGACTTGGATCCTGTTCTTCGGAATGTTTCGTTCACGGTACAGCCTGGCGAGAAGGTGGGCATTGTCGGTCGTACGGGTGCTGGAAAGAGTTCTCTTGCCCTTGCGCTGTTCCGCGGTCTTGAAGCCGAGAAAGGACGCATCATCATCGACAACGTGGACATCAGCAAGATTGGTCTCCGCGACTTGCGCGAAGCAATCACTATTGTTCCTCAGGACCCTACTCTCTTCACGGGCACCATCCGGACCAACCTTGATCCCTTCAACCTTTTCACTGACGAACAAATTTTTACCGCTCTGCGGCGCGTCCATTTGATCGGCCCAGGAACCTCGGGCACTGCTACGCCTACGACGAGTAGCACTGTTGCCGAGACCAGCGCGAACGGTGTCACCAGCAGTACTGTCCTTGACAACAAGAATATCTTCCTGAACCTGGAGACTGCGGTTTCCGAGTCCGGGTCCAACCTGTCTCAGGGTCAACGTCAGCTTCTATGCCTTGCTCGTGCCCTTCTCAAGAACCCGAAGGTGCTGATGATGGACGAAGCCACCGCGTCGATTGACTACAATACCGACTCGAAGATCCAGGAGACCCTACGCGAACTCCGGGAGAGCACGATTATTACGATCGCCCACCGCCTGCAAACTATCATTGACTACGACAAAGTGCTGGTGCTTGACCATGGTCAGGTCATTGAGTTCGAGCACCCGTGGACGCTGATCAACCGCGAGGATGGTCTCTTCCGCAGCATGTGCGAGAACAGTGGAAATATGGATGGTCTTCTAGAGGGTGCCAAGAGGGCCTGGGAAAGTAAGAGTGGGAACACCTCGACATAGTCTTATAGAGTTGCGTGTATCAGATGGGGGTTCCTATTTTCATTACATACATACACTGTTGTTCTTTCCTGTGAATTGTTCTTTCCTCTGCACTGGGGCCATAAAAGTTATGGTACATAATTATCTCTAGGCGTGTGTCTATTTACATTGTTGTATGTGTCGAATTGTTTCATATATCATAGAAAATCAACTCATTGTTTAAACGTTTCTGGTAGGCTTGTTACCGTCGACCTGATATCCACCAGTGGCTTCTGTAGTTAGTGTAAATGGCTCGGAGTTCAGAAGCCCGTTTGTCTGACTAGGCGTAGTCATCTGGAGGTGTTCGAGGTTGCTGGGAGTGAGATCAGCCCTGAGGCTGGGAATAAATGCCGCATAATGACTGGTGCTGTTCACGAACCGGCCAATAGGAGTCCAGCTACTATACTACTCAACCTCAAGCCCTGAGACAACTTCTGTATACTTAAGGTAAGCTCGTCTCCCTTCACCATACACAACCACCATTAACATTGCGCATGCCAATCCCAATCCCAATCCCAATCCCAATCCCCAAAACAAAGCAACATGTCTCGACCGAATGTTCTATTGATCGGCGCCACCGGCAACACAGGCGGTTCCATCCTGGAAGCCATGCTCGCCGCCGACCAATTTGTATACATCCCACCCCCTGCCAGACCTATCCTTAAATAAAATATTCAAACAGCTAATTTATGCAATGCGATGCAACCACCCAGGACATCGAAATCCTCATCCGCCCGACCTCCCTGCCCAAACCCGCCGTGCAAGCCCTCGTCCAGCGCGGCCTGGCCCACCGCGTCGTGGACCTCGATCTCCCGGAGGACGCCCTCGTGCCCGCGCTGGCCGGCATCACGATCCTGATCAGCACGCTTGGCCCAGCCACTGTCGCGCAGGAGAAGACCCTCGTGCGCGCCGCCAAACGCGCGGGCGTGCAGCGCTTCGTCCCGAGTTCGTGGATAACCGTCGCCCCGCCGCGGGGGTCGATGCTTTTGCGGGAGGAGGTGCGTCCGTCCCCCTTGGCCCCCTTGGCCTCTGTCTATACCTACCTACCTGCCTGCCTGCCTACCCACCTGAACCTCCCTCTGTACACACGACCCCCAAGAACCACACTAACCAGCGAACAGAAAGAAGAAATCCTCACCGAACTCCGCACCCAGAACCTGGATTACACCGTCATCGACGTGGGCTACTGGTACCAACTCTCCCTGCCCCCCGTCCCCTCCGGCCGCCTCTCCTACGCCATCCCGGTGCCCTCAACCATCATCCACGGCGACGGCACCGCGCCCACCATCCTCACCGAGCTGGGCGATATCGGCCGCTTCGTGGCGCGCATCGTCGCCGACCCGCGCACGCGCAACCGGGCCGTGTACACGTGCTCGGCGGTGCTGTCCGAGAACGAGATTTTTGGGATCGTGGAGGATGTTTCGGGGGAGACTGTTAGCAGGGGTTATGTATGTTCTTTCCCCTCTGTTCCTCCCGGTGGTCCCCGGTGGGTTGGTGTGGGTTGGTGTGGGTTGGTGTGGGTTGGTGTGGGTTGGTGTGGATGGGCACAGACTTACCGCAGGCAGGAATCCGAGGCGGAAACCCTCCGCAAAGCCGAGCAAGCGCTGGCGGAGTTTTCCACAAATCCCACTGATTTCTGGAACCGCGCGGCCGTGTACTTAGCGCAGTACCGGTGCAGCAAGTACGTGCGCCGGGAGAATACGCCCGAGACGGCGGCGGGGCTGGGGTATCTGGATGCCAGGGTGCTGTATCCGGATCTGAGGACGGTGGGGTTCCGGGAGTTTGTGGTGGAGGTGCTGGCGGGGCGGGGGAGGAATCCTTATTCTGGGTCTGTTTCTTGATCATGGGGGGTTCGGGATGTGTATGGGGGAGTGGGTTGGCTTGGATGTTGTATGTCGTGGTGGTTTTGCTGAGTGCCTAATAACGTATACATCGATCCTCCTTGCTTAGAGGATTGCAAGTCGCTTGGAGCTCCACGTGGTGATTCATGGCTAGAACATAAGAACTATAATCTGTGTGGTTTTGTTTCCAAGGTAAGTCATTGGAAGTCCAATTCCTATACGAAGATCAGCCATGTAACAATTTTTGAAGTCTATCACATTTTGAATTATCTCACTATGGTCCTTGAGCTGGCTAGAAGGGTAGTCATTGGCCATGACTTGAGGCAACCGGGAATGTGGTAAGCATGGCGAGTCTGCTTGCTTGGATGATACGAACCCTGGATTGACATGAACGGAAGTTGGTGGATGTATAAAGTATCGATCTATAGACTCGGAAGATGTACTTACAAAAGCTGGATGAATAAGAATACAGCAGATATCAATGTGCTTCAATTGTAGGCGAATGGACCCTGTTAGTGTCCTGCATTCTGAATCGACTGCTAGCTACGCATCCAAACCACACCACCACAAAACGGGTGTTCCCACTTCTCATAGCATCCAGATTCTTCGTATCAGAACAACAGCTTCGACTATCGTCACCTCGCGATATAACAGATTAAGCAGAAGTCTGGCATACAACGAATGTCTAGAACAGTGTGATTAGTTATACTGTCCAAATTTCGTTATATCGAAGGGGTGAGAAATACCTAAATAGGAAGGAAATAGGTCAGTTAGTCAGCATATCACAGGGTTCCTGGAGCATCACGTGAATTTCTCTTTACACTTCTGCTGTACGACCTTGGACACGCGCATCGAGAAGTTGTTTTGCTACATTGCGAGGTGACAATAGTCCCTTGCCTATTTTGACCCCATTTTCCCCCATATCTCACACATAGATATAATCCTCCCTCTAAATGAGCCCTGGGAACGGACTCTTAAAGCAAGTCTATTCATCAAACACAGTATATTGCTTTCTAATGCTCCTTTCTCATATCGCCTTCTCAACCTACTGCTAAAGTTCTAAGATGAAGAAGTATTCTGTTACTACACGAAAGGTTTTAGGCTCTCTACGGCCTTGACCTTTCTGCTTTTGTAAGCTTGGGACCTCACAGCACGCGGGCGCCTCGACACAATATGGGCAAACATTAAATAGTATACTCCCTGATAATCTTTTCCGGTACACTTTAGGGAGATGGATGTATATGCTTAAGACACTAGACCTTCTGCTAAAACTAACATCTTTTAAAGATTTAATAAACAACTTCATCTTTCAGAACAATTTCTTAAGTTTAACGTGTCTGCACTTCAGCAGATTATTGCTGCTGCATCTGGCCATTCAATATGCAATCTCCAAACCTTTGCAAAGCTATTTAAAGGTGGATTCAACCGCGTGTTTAAGGCCACATTCAGCAATAAAAAGTGTATTCTTATGCAACTTCCGTACCCTAGCATAGTCCCAAAACACTATACTATAGCAAGCCAGGCGGCAACATTAGACTATCTCCGCCTGCATGGTATCCGCACACCAGAGGTGTACAGGTGGTGTTCAACAAAGGCAAATCCTATAGAGGCCGAGTATATTATTATAAAAAAGCTAAATAGCACTCTACTCAGCAACAAATAGTTTTTATTAATACTAAAGAAACACTATTAGGTTATAAAGCAGATTATTAAATAGAAAACGCAGCTAATATTACTACAGTTTCCGGCGTCTAGAAGTCTTTACTATACCAAGAATCTTTTATTAGCAAGCAAAATACAGCTTACTGATCCTAATGCTACAGCATTCTGTATAGGGCCGAGAGCTTATTATAGCTGATAGTATAATAAAGGGGACTTACTAAATATTAATAAAGATTCTTGTAAGTTTAATTGTCTTTGAAAAGCATATTATAAACATTACTAACTATAAAAGGGTTGTTATTAATTAACATTTTCTAAGCAGCTGGCAAATATAAATTAGCTTAGACTAAAGCCCATACCAGACTTGCTTACCGTATAAGCAACTCTATCAGAAGATCTATTATTTTAAGCATATATCACCTATTAGTCACATCACGGACCTTACCAACTATCTTTAAATAGTGCCCTGCTTAGGGTTTTTTGACAACTCAACTTTAAATCAACCTGTTATGTGTTACCCCGACCTTCAACCCAACAACATCCTTATGTTGGAGACAAACAAGATAATTAGACTGATTAATTAGCAGTATTATACAATTTTTTTTTTAGTCTTGTTACGGGAATACCCACACACTTCCAGAACTATAGTAATCCCAAATTGGAGATGCTGAAACAGCCTGAGCTTACTCTTTTTCCAAATTATAACTTTTTATCTACACCTAAATAAGCATTGCTTTAAGAAATTTAGCAGAAAAGGCTGGTCCATTTCCTCTATACTGTACTAACCAAAAAACTTAATAAAAATTATTATAATACTATTTTTAATTAGTCTATCATCCTCCGCCAACAGCTATTTTAAAATACAGGTACACTCTGGGAGAAAGACTTAATTTTACTGTAAACAGAACTTATCTGTATAATCAAGAACTAGTTAATAATTACGCCGGCCACCAGTACAGAGTATATTTAAAGTACTTGCTTTATTACTCCAGTAGGCTATTTAAAGAAGGTTATTCAGAAAACCCTTAACCTAAATATTTACTAAAAAGAAGCTGATATCGCAACTAAAAAAATAAAAAATATTTTAGAAGTAGATCTTTTAGATTAGGTTCTAAACAATAATTATAAAGCTGTAAAAAAAGTAGCTTATGATATAAAAACCAGAATGCTTAAAGCGGCTGAGACTTCGGAAGATTGTATTAGTATTTGATATTATTTCCCGTTTGATGACTTTAATGAAGTGGCTTGAGGTCTTGGTCCAGGTTTTTCCAAGTGTTCATCTTGTTGTAAGTAACAACAATACTTCTGTGTGCGACAGCATCAGTATGCTTTGAACTTGCTACGAGTGCCATCATTCATTTGGAGCAAGCATAGAATCACCACTTTCACAGCAGTATAATGCCTAGTGCGATCATATTGGAGTTATTGGATTGCTCCCCACATCTCCACGAAAGACAAATCCATTCTACCATTTCCATATTACCTTCACCAAAGTCTCTTTATTCTTCATAGTAGAAAAAGAATATCGATGGCAGAGAGATGTACGCAGGTTTGTACTGTACCTACCATCCCTCTCCCACAAAAGTTCATCTTATAGAAAAATACACCTGTGAGGTGCTCGCCCTATTCCAGCCCCAGATTCCGCCCAAGAGGTAGAGAAAGGCCATGTGAACGACATCTGAAGAACCAGAATATACTTGTCAAAATGAAATAATTGCGGGTGCATAACACCATGAGGGTATTAAACAATTTGAATTGAATACACAGCTGTGCCCTATTCACATAAATGGGGGCCCCTAAGTAATACCCCGTCCACTCCAGCCTGAACAAGTAATGCTGACAGTAAGTGAACTGTCAGCCCCTCCCAACCTACGCTTCCTTCACATGTGTGGTCGATCCCCTTACGCAGCATCAGATCGCTTCCGAAGATTAAGAGACTCGCCTGCCACACAACCTTCCGGGATATATGACGTCCAGTGCATTTGTCTTGAAGAGCCGTGTCCTTCCCGTGTCTTTCGATCTGCAAAAAAAAAAAAAAAAAAAAAAAGGTAAAAAAGAAAAGAAAATCCAGTGAGAAACAAAAGAGTCCTAGCAGCAGGCTTGCTTACTTGTACGTACACTGGGCAGTACATCCAAGATCCCGTGCGAACTCGTTTGCCCGAGTTGGGAAGAATTTCAGAAAAAGGGGTATGCCCCTCGTCCATCCACATAAGCTTCAGCTTCTATAATACAGTACCTTAACGCTCTGATATACCTTCGGATGATTTGTCTAGCTAGTGTGATCTGTAGCCCTTTCCTCGGTCTTGTATAAGACCTACGTCTTCAGACAATCATACATAGTATGCCTTTCTGAAGGACTCCAGTAAGGGTAGCTCAATCTCATAGCTGAGAAAATGACATCAGCCTCCCATCAAACACGTGACCCCAGGATAACCCCGAAGAATATCATTCTAACCCGAATCAGACTAGCGCAGACACCTTAAGGTCCACAACGCGGAGCTAAAATCCCCCCCCGGACGATCCGGAAGCAAACTAGAATATGGAGGTGGACGATCACGCAGACTGACAGTAGCTGCAGATCCCCCCCATCAACGCTGCTGTTCTACCACCCTCACTTAACGCAGTAACTACCAATCACATCATAAGAGTAGAGTGAGGACAAAGCACAGCCCCGTCAAACAATCTCTCAGCCTAGAATACTGTACTGCACAGCATACCCGGCATGCAATTACGCTCTCGACTTCGACCTTATCCATCCGTTCCGGACGGATGATATCACCATCCAGCATCCACCGTGCAAAACTCCCATTCTGACAGCAGAATATCTCCCCGCATGGTTCCTACTTCCGTTAGGGTCCGGTAAAAATCTTTTCATTTATGACTGTCAATGCGATAGATGTTCTTTCTATGACCTCACACCCAACCATAGGTAGCAGACAGACTTTGACAACCTCCTGTTGAACCCTGGAAGAACACCAGTTCGCTAGAGCACGGGTGCTGGTTGGGATTGTCGCCACCGCTCCCCCCCCCCCCGCTATCACCAGCTCCATGGCCAGGCCAGATGATGTTGAGATACCCACCCCTCCCAAACCTCTACCCCCCGTTCGGGGTTGCCCGGCGGCGGGGAAACGGGAAATGTCATGATGCAAATCCAGTGGAGGGAAGCGAATTCCGCCTCGATGCTTGGATGACCGCGCGTCGTGCATGCTCGGAGGCTGAGGGTTCCACACCCATCATCATATCGTTGCATCTGCCTGCGGGCTTTGACGACATTCTAGACTGCGACGGACGGTGCTGGAAACCTTGTTTCGCTGGAGGAACTACGCAGTTGCCCACCG